CAGTGATGTGTTAATTAAATTCAGAAGGTCAGAAGAACATAAAATAGCATCCACACTTAAGCCTAAGACTATCATAAAGTTTTATTTTATCCTGAAGATCGTGGAAAGCTGGTGATAAATTTTAAATAAGGAAATAGCATGATAACATTCACAAATTTAAGAAAATAAGTTTGGCAACATGGAAAATCGGCTGGAAGTTAACCTTGGAGCTAAGGAAGTCAACTCCGAGTTGGAGCAGTCACCCATTAGACAGCAGTGGTCAGGACTGAGGTAACACCCATGAGAATAGAGAGAAGGGTTCAAGAGCTTTTAGGAGATAGAATCAACAGGACCTTGTGATGGATTGGATGAGTGAAAGAGAGGGAAAAGATGAGGACAGCCCGACCACAGGCCCACAAAAACGGATAACCAAGAAATTCTATTCCATCCTACACAGTGCTTCTGAATAACAACTGACCAGTTTCTGAACAGGTTTGGGCTTTGTGTTCCCAAAAACGATTTCCGATGGAGATCTCTGAATCACCCTCTGCAAAGAATACTAGTAAAAGTAGGCTGAGAGAGAGAAAATGTCACAAACTTAAAAGTCATGTGTCTTCCCTAGCCAGTTTTGTGCAGTGGTTAGAGTGTTGTCCCTCAGACTGAAGGGTCACAGGTTCGATTCCGGTCAAGGGCATGTACCTTGGTTGCAGGCTCAATTCCTGGCCCTAATTGGGGCCCACGCAGGGGCCAATCAATGTGTCTCTCTCACATCAATGCTTCTCTCTCTGTCTCTCCCCCTCTCTTCTGCTGTCTCTGAATATCATGGGTAAAAAAATATCCTCCGGTGAGGATTAACAACAACAACAACAACAACCACAAAGTCACTTGCCACTGACAACATTAAAGATAATCTGTCACCAGTTCCTAACTTTGTCCTTGGTTACAAAGGCCATTGTTTGAGTGAACAAAGAGGGTAAGAAATCTGGAAAGAAAGGTTTATTCAGAGAAACTGATAAGAGCTCAGGCTGGAGAAGACTTGCATGCGAATGAGGAAAGGAGCACAAACCCGGGGAGAGCAGGGAGAGCATGCCTTTTGTCTTCCAGCTGTCAAGCACATTCTGTCTGCTGCAAAATATTCAGAGGCTCAAAATTAGGAATGGAAAAAATGCAGTTTCCAGCAGCTGCTCTTGATATAGTCAGAATATTCTGAAAATGATCTAGCTTCTCAGTAAAAGCCATTCCCATCTAATGAATCAGATTCAACTCCGAGAACAATAAACTGGTGGTTATGGAGGATTGTGGGGTCTCTCTGATTTCCTCCATCAGACACCTGTCCCAAAGCCTTGCTCCCTGCTGCTTCCCTTGCTGTCCAACAAAACACTGGATTCTAACAAATACTCACTATGTGCAGATGGACGTCCCTCTGAAAGTCCTCAGAAAAGTGAAAAGTTCAAGAATAGAATCAAAGTATACTAAAGCCTAAAAGATTTTCTTCAGAAGTTTTGTTTCTAGTTCCTATTGTTGCCACTCTGCTAAAAACTCAGGATGATTTCCTATTGGAATCCCCTCCTTTAGCTCATTTCAGGACGCTTTCATTTCCAAAATTAGCCTGCTGTTTCAGGTTGTGAGTGTCCTTGTTGGACCTGACCCTCAACTTCTGGGCCCTAGATAGGCCTGCGGATAGGATTCAGGCAATTCAGTTGGAGCGCTGTAGTTGACCCTAGCAACCAAGAGTGCCAGCCAGCCAAGCCAAGGCCAAATGGGAGAAACTAGGAAAGGTAGAATGCTTAGCTCACTAAAGGCAACTCTTACAGGCTCCCACTGAACGTTACCTAATCTATGACAGATTACACTATACACTGAAACATTGTTTTGAAGTAAATCTCCCCTTCTCCATAAAAATGACATTTTATGGCTCATCTTGCTAATTTTTCACCCATTTAGACTCTGCCTGACAGAGAAATTGGACATTGTTAAATAGTATTAAGTCTTTTGAGTTCCCTCAGCTTGCAAGAAAGCCTCCAGCTGCTATTATGTAGATTAATCCAAGTTAAATATTTGTAACACAATATAAGACAAAGGAGTGTGCCTTTGTCTTCCAGTTGTCTGGAATCACAGATATCAATTTGATTTCATCAACAAAAAAATGAAAAAAAATCCCTACACCATTTGTTATTACGTTGACTTAAACTATGTTTTTTCATGATGCCCTGCATGATGTATTTACCAAATTTAGAAGAGAAAAAACTACGAAGGGCCAGAGATCCATTAGCAACCATTTCCTATTTATCGGATTCTGGTGGCAACCGGGGAAAAAATCATGCAGCCTCTACGTGCACATCAGTCCCCTTCTGTCCTTTGGTACAGATTTGATGTGTAGTCACCAGCTGGAGAGAGCAAATACTTCTATCATTGTTCTCCCTCATTTGGGATTTCTGAGGCTAATTTGGATTAGACTCAACAACTTCATAAATCCGGAAAATAGGTACCAAAACTATTTCTAAACTCAATTTTTGGAGACCAGGTTCACTTGGCAATGTGATCTAATAGAAAGAGTTTGGAATCTGCCCTCATTAAGTCTGCGTTGAAGTCCCAGTTTGGCTCTTATTAGCTGGCTAACCTCTGGCAAATCCTTGGTATTCCAGTTTTCATAGCTATAGAATAAATCACAATTCCCACTTCAAAGGATGAGGACCACAGAGTCACATCAAGTGAAAAGCAACGGGCAAAGAGCTCCTCAGAGGTGGGCCTTTGGCTCACCTTCGGGAGCTTGTCTAAGACTCAGAAATCTAGCAAGCATGAACAATGGATTAGGAGTGAACAACGATCAGTTTTTCTATCAGCAAAATGGGTACTCTTTTCCCTCACATATGTGTACTCTCTTATACCCATTACTAGTGAGCATAGCATTATATTGAGAATCAGGTGGCTTAACTCACCCCACCACAGTGATTCCTCAACTTGCTGCATGTTGCAATCACCTAGGGAACTTTTAACCCCACAGTATCCAGTTGTACCCAATACCAATTAAATCAGAATGCCTGGGGGTGGATCCCAGGCATCAGTATTTTTCAAGACCCTGAGGTGACTCTACCATATAACAAAGTTTAGGAACCTCTGTCCAATTACCTTTTATAGGAAACTGAGGGTACTTTTAAACTTTTTGGTTCCGAAATATGTTTAACTTTGAAGTGGGAATTGAAGCCCAGAACAACAAATATTGAACCTCTAAACCTTCCCTCCAGTGAACCTGGCAGCCACCACCCCACATTTTACATCCAGCTGAGAAGTGTGAACCATGAGTAAGCAGAGGCCACACAGGGGCAGGGATGTGAGCCCAGGGTCGGGAGAGCACAGAGCAACACTTCCCAAACTGGACGATCAGCAGGCTAACATAAAGAGATTTGGCTCTTCTGGTTCACCAAAGCTAAGCAGGCTTCTTCTTTGTAGGGCTTCTGAGACCCTTTAAGTTGGGAGTATGATTATGAACCTGCCACAGAGAATTGCAACAGCATTTCCCTGAAACCTTCATTTTCTCAGAGCAGTTCAGGGACTCGTGTTTCAAGGAATGTGGTTTAAGAAACCTAGAGCAATGTGGGGAAGAGGGGACCGGGATCCGGGATTTTGTCCACTGAGGGGACGTTTGGTGATGTCTGGAGACGTATTTGGTTGTCACAACTGGGGGTTGGGTGGCTGTTACTGGCATCTAGTGAAAAAGGAAGAAAAGATGCTGATAAACATCCTACAATGCACAGGAGAGCCCCCACAACAAAGAGTTATCCAACCCCAATAGCACACACCTTCAAAGCCCTTGTCTAGAGCAGCGGTTCTCAACCTGTGGGTTGCGACCCCTGAAAATACATCCTGCATACCAGATATTTACATTACAATTCATAACAGTAGAAAAATTACAGTTATGAAGTAGCAACGAAAATAATTTTATGGTTGGGGGTCACCACAACATGAGGAACTGTATTAAAGGGTCGCGGCATTAGGAAGGTTGAGAACCACTGGAGAGTGACTTTTCTATGGTTATGGCCATCTCCCACACCATAACCTTGAAAATTGAAGATGACTAGAAAGCAAGAAAGACAGAGGAAGAGGGGAGGATGAAGAGGAAAGGGAAGGGAAAATAAAGGTAGGAAATGAAAGAGATAAACAGACTATAATGAAGGAATAGACTGGGAATAATGAGAATAAAAAGAAGCCAGATTCATAATTGCCTAAACTTGGAAGCAACTTAGATGTCAGTAGGTGAATGGATAAATAAACTATGGTTCATCCAAACAATGGAATATTACTCAGGGCTAAAGAGAAATGAGCTATTAAGCCATGAAAAGACATGGAGGAATCTTAAAGGAACATTACTAAGTGAAAGAAGCAAATTCTGAAAAGGCTACATACACACTGTACAATTCCACTCTATGACCTTCTGATACAACTATGGGGACAGTAAAAAGATCAGAGGTTAATAGGGAGGAATGAACAGGGGAGCACATGTATTCACTTATTTATCACAGGATTTTAGAGCAGCAAAAATACTCTGTGTGATACATAAGTGAACACATATCACCAGACATTTGTCCAAACACATAGGATACACAGCACCAGGAGTGAACCCTAATGTAAACTATGGACTTTGGGTGATGATGATGTGCCAATGGAAGCTCGGCAATTTTAACAAGTGTGCCCTCTGGTGAGGGCTGTTAATGGGAGAGAGTACGCATGCGTGAGGCAGGAAGTCTATGTAAAATCTTTGTAACTTCCCCTCTATTTTGCAGTAAACCTAAAACTGCTCTAAAAAAAATAAACACGAAAGAAAAAGGCAGCGCAGCGCAGCGTTAACTGGACCCAGCCTCCTCTCGCCTTTATTACTGCTCTGAGTTTAGGAAGGCCGATCATTCTGCTCTACAGGCACGAGCTAGTGGGTGAAGGCAGGCGAGGAAATCAGAAGGCAGGAGATTTTCTTCTGCCCAATAGGCTGTACCCCCAGCTCGGTGCCTCTGTGCGCCTTGGCGGCCTCAGACCCTGGGGGGCTTCTTGGGGTCCTTGCTCTTGCCCGGCATGAAGGCGTACAGCTCCTCGATGAGCATCTCCATGCGGGCGGTGACCTCGGTCACCGTGTCGATGACCAGCTTCTGCTGCAGCTTCAGCTTGTTGTTCTCCCACAGCGCCTTGTTCTCCTCCTGGAACAGCCGGTGCTCCTCGCGCAGCACGTGCAGCGCGCGGTTCTCCTCCTGCAGGAGCCGGTTCTCCTCGCGCAGGACCTGCAGGCTCTGGTTCTCAACCCGCAGGGCCTGCAGCGCCTGGTTCATCTCCCGCAGCAGCTCCAGGGGCTGGCTGCCGTCCTCCAGGCCCGCGGCCGCCTGGCTCTCCTCCTCCCGGGAGGAGCCC